AAAAAAAAAAAAAAAAAACACTTGCGACAGAAAAAACAAAAGCTCCATCATCATGGAAGAATGCAAACCCTGTCACATACTGTTAAGCTCTATCCAAGAAAGGAGAAAACATTAGCGAAAACCCACACCCCATCTATAACCACAGAGCTGAGATTCCATGTCCTGCTTCCCCAACCTCATATAGTGCACCCTCCCCTTTCTCTTTCTCTCTCCCTCTCAATGTTTCGTAGATTCCTCACCACTTCTCTCTCTCGCACCAATCCTCCCCTCCTCCTCAACCGAAAACCACTCAACCCTAAAATCTTCACAACCCCCAATTCCCTCATCCAAACACGCCCCAACCCGAAATTCATTCTCCAATTTTCTTCAAACCCACGATTCTTCTCCCAAATGAGCGATGCTCGACGACCCGGTTCGGTTCCCATACCCAACATCGAAAAAGCCGATCGCGCCGAGCTTCTTCGTGCTCTCGAGGCCTCTATTGGCTCAGCTTTTAGCCCTGAGCCACTCTGGCCCAATCCCAGTCCTCTGGTTATTGTCATAAGCGGTCCAAGCGGTGTGGGCAAGGACGCTGTGATAAAAAAGCTTAAGGATTTGAACGAACATTTGCATTTTGTGGTCACGGCGACGAGCCGGGAAATGCGGCCCGGTGAAGTTCATGGTAAAGATTATTACTTTGTGAGCAAAGAGGAGTTTCTTACAATGGTTGAGAGAAATGAGCTTTTGGAATATGCATTGGTGTATGGAGACTATAAGGGTATACCAAAACAGCAGATAAGGGATTATATGGGAAAAGGGTATGACATAGTTTTGAGAGTTGACATTCAGGGTGCTCAAACTTTGAGGAGGATTCTTGGGAATTCGGCAGTTTTTATCTTTTTGATGGCAGAGAGTGAAGCCAAGCTTGTGGAGAGGTTGATTGATAGGAAAACTGAGACTAAGGAGTCTCTTCTTGTTAGAATTGCCACTGCCAGGGAGGAGGTGAAGCATGTTAACAATTTTGACTATGTTGTGGTCAATGCAGAGGGGAGGTTAGACAATGCTGTTAAGTTGGTCGAGTCCATTATCGACGCAGAGAAAGCTAAGGTCCGGCAGAGGCATTCTGTGATATAGCTTTGGCGGTAATTGAGGTATTGGGTTGAATTTTTTTTTAATTTTTTTGGGAATTGTACTCGCAATTGTTACAATTTTGACTGAATTAGTCTTGTTCAACAATTTCAGTTCTGTTGGTTGTAGGATGTTGTTTTCTTGTAACAATTTGAATGTGAAGTTTATGACCTAGGAGAATCAACTATTTTAAGAAGTTGCAGTTCACAATGTGTTACATCTCGTTTTGGAGTGAGCAAGATAAATAATATTTTCTTCATCGAGTCCTTTTGAACATCACATGTTAAAAAGATCTTTTTTCTAGAAATTGGAAACGCATTATTAACTTTATTGAAGTTATATCCTTATTGCTTTATTGTAAAGAAGAGGACTATTCACTATAGTTCATGGAGATATGGTTGGACTTGATGCATTAATTAATGGAAAGTATGTCAAGTACGAGAAAATTAGGTTTATTGGAGTTGCTTATGGGATGAACTTTTAGTAAGCTGAGTTTGTAATACGATAAGCATAAAAAAGTGATTGTCTAGATAAAGTTAGACTTGAGCTACGACAATTTTTTTTTTTGCTATACAACTCTCTAATAACCAATGTGTTCATTTCTTACCCAAAATGTTTCACTGCCTGCTGCCTCTGCTGGCTCAAATTACAATTGCAACAGTTGACTTGTCTCTTAGCCAATCTTTACAGAAATCATGTCCTTGTTTATTAGCTGAAAATTTATACAGGTGAATACTAGAGAAGGCAATTTATGTTAGCTTCGCTTATGCCCTAAATGAAATCTGGTTTTGATCTCCTTGAAATCAGGTATCACGTATGTACTAAAGGCAAACCACATCCGATCAACCTACCTATGCCCCATCTTTAGCTTAATTGGTTCTCTAGCTAAGGGGCTATTTGGTTTTGTTTGTCATTTGGAGGGCAAAAAGTTACTGCACGATTTTGTGAAGTCTGGATCTTGTGTGTTGTAGTCAGGTTTGTTAATGGCTATGGTTCGAGACTGTCACTGCCTGATCACAAACATCAAACTGATGAGCAGTTGATTTTCCTAGGAATTAGATCCTGCATCATACATTACATTTATGTTTTGCGATGTGTAAATGGTTATGGTTCATGATGATGTTTAAGTTCATCATTCAATCCTACCCCTTTGTCATCTTTTTGTTTGTCTTAAATGTTTATTGATCGAGAACTGACATGTGCTGAATTGCTGGCATTGACTTCCACTTCCTCTAATATTTCTTTATGCTTATCAGTCCAACTGTTATCTTAACTCTACCATTCCAAGACACCTTCAATCAAAAACTGTTGAGTAGAAATACTCTGACAATACAAAAGCCATTCTATAGCTTAATAATCTTCCATGCTCAATTGAGTTGTTTTTACTCTGAGCAGGAATTTCGCTAAGAGAGGGACCTGAAAATCCTAGTAATCATAGCATGTAATAAGAGACATTCTAGGAATTTGGCAATTTGCTCTATTGTACTTGTTTGGAAAATGCTGGAGAACGTTGTCAAATCAATTGATACATTAAATGGTATATATGCTGCTATTTGTTTGCTTATTTGTGTTGACAACTATTGCTACTATTATATCTCTTCTGGATGATAACGATAGACATGGAAATGGTAATCCAGTTGTTTTTGTAGCTTGTGTCTTGTCTGAGTTTTCTGGTGGAGGGCATGGAAGCATAATCAAGTGTTGCCTGCTTCAAAATTTTCTGCAAGTCCTACAGTCAAGAGATTTAGTGGAACTCCAAGGACAAATTTTTCTTGGTGTATTCTGAATTTATGCTACAAAAACTTTGAGATGAAATTCTTTATTTTTTAATGACATATTTATTGAATTAATACATTGGTAGTCGGTATGAATGGAAGATTCATTTTGTGGGTTTAGTTGATTAGAATTTGAAAAGACAGATTTGTATCTATGAAATCGGAAATGCGCGAATTGAATTGGTAGTTCTTTAGACAGTTGCTATATCCTTGGTGCTACTATTAGGAGGCTTGGACGCAAACTGTTGTCCAGTATATACAGGAACACCATTGCCATTGCTAAGCCGTGGAATTTGATCAGGTCGTGATCTTGCTTAGGAGGGATTTGATCAACTTGTCTAAAATATGTTCTTCTCCGCGTGCAAAGCCAAATTATCTTACTCTACCCACCTGCCTTCCTGCACCTACTACCATCGTTAAACCCACCTAAAACAATGGACTCATTCAACATTCAAAAGCATATTAAACCCACCTAAAATTGTAGGCTCCTTCAATGCCCAACTTTAAAATGTTGCTTCAAATAATCTTTTCATTCTTATTTCTCCGAAGCGATAGTCTAAACTACAAAGAGAGGGGGTTTCTCACACACATACACTACTAATGTGCTAAGGAGGTTCGAACCTGATACCACTGGTCTGCAAGTCAATGCTATTTTCCACTGCGCTAGACCCTATTGGCATTTCTCTGAAATTTTATAGCAAACGTAATGTGTACAAATGTTTTAGGCCTTGCAGGCAATTTGAGTGTGGCTTTATATGTTTAAAGACCAAGTATAACAGAATGTTATGAAAAAAGTTTGCGCGTATATTGATCTGTATTAAAGGAATCAAGTTGGACCCAATAAGCACAGGGAATTTCCTAATCACACAAGTTAAGTTAGAGCCAAAGCCAATACAGAGCTCAAATGCAACTTGCAAGCTAATTGCCTTGAAGCTACTGTCTTTAGTTGCATCTCAATACACTCTTTGATAGAGATTGGATGGAAAAATCGAAAAAATTAAAAATTAAAAAAATCTCATAATAATAATCGTGCACTCAAAAGAAATTGGAGAAGGGGAGGGACCCACTTGAGCCTTTAACTTGACACAAATGGACTCCGACTTATATTATCCGTTTCAGCAAGCTACAACCAACTAATTTGCCAAAACTGCACATTAAAGAATTTTTTTAATAAGCCACACAAATAATAAAAAGAAGAACAAGTCAGAGCTGTTTTTTTTTTAAATTTAAAAAAAAAAAAAAAAGTCTAGAGAAAGAATATGCTTTATGTAATACTATATATATACAGGAATTATGCTGGCTTAAGCATGGATATGATTGAAAATGGATTTTAAAACAGACAGGACTCAAATTTTGGTTCATTAAATGTTATAATTAACAGTGGACAAGTGGTTTAATATGATAACGTTATGTCCTTTAATTCAAATCAATCCATATCTTTGATATTGCAGATGATTAGTTGGCATAATGTAATTCCATTCGGATGTTGATCTAATAAGAGAAAGACTAGGAGGAAATTATGGATTAAGAACTACTTGTATATATAAAAGACAGAAGTCAATGTCTCTTAGGAATGACCAAAACACAATATCTCTATGGACAAGATAAAAAAGAAAAAGAAAAATAGAAGTCAATGTCTCGTCTCCAAGCAAATGTAAGTTAGGCTAGTTGGTTAAGACGGTGTGCCCTCCTTATTGCACATAAGTTCGAACCTCCTCCCATAAATTAAAGTAGTTTAGAATATACCCCTTGTCCAAAAAAAAAAAAACAGAAAAACAGAATCTCGTCTCCGAGCTACAATACATGGTAAAGTGGTAAAGTTGAGAGAAGAAAAACCAACCAATTTCTTCAGCAAGCACACACCCTTTCTTTCTTATTTGAAAAAAGTGAAAAAGTGAAAAGTAACATAAAAGACACTCTTGGTTATAGCAGGAAAAAAAGGTAGGCTTTTGTGCCTTTAGTTGATTTATCAAGAAACTAATGAATGGGCTGTGGAGGCAAGCAACATGCATTAAATCAAGACAGGAGCAGGAGGAGCAAATCAAATTCCAACAAAAAATAACGAACTTGAGAGGAAAATGAGGGGAACGAAAGCAATATGACGTTTACTCTTTCCTCTTCTTTTCCACAGAGCTAACGTGCTCCCCAAGCTCCTTTTCCTCCTAGTTTATAAGACCACCAACCCCACATTCTGTCAAAGACAACCACACAACTCCAAAAGCTGAGCCAATTGATTGAGACACAGTCATATTTCGTCTTCATCTACTTCTGCAAACAGTCATATTTGATTGAGAGAGAGAGAGAGAGAGAGAGAGAGAGAGAGAGAGAGAGATCTAGTTTCATTTCCAAGCTGCTGCTCTGAATCCAGCAACATGGTTCAGCCTAATAACTCAGCAGAAGGTGAAGGAAGCATTCATTTGCAGATTGATGAGCCCCACAGGCTCAATGAAACCAGAAGTTCAGACAACACAATCTTTGAACCTCAGAGCAGTATTGAGAAAAGAGAGAGTAGCACTGCGACTTCTGTGGGTCCAACGACACCAGCAGTTCCTGCACCAGAAAAGAAGCTAACCCTTTTCGCTCTCCGGCTAGCTGTGCTCGAAAAAGCAGCAACCGGCCTTGGAACTCTGGGTTTCATCTGGGCAACAGTTGTCCTTCTAGGCGGTTTTGCCATCACCTTAGACCAAACAGACTTCTGGTTCATCACAATCATTTTGTTGATTGAGGGGACTAGGATATTCAGCAGAAGCCATGAACTTGAATGGCAACACCAAGCCACTTGGTCTATTGCTGATGCCGGGATCAACAGTTTTCGCGCATTGAAAATCAGCTCAAGCTTCATAATTGAGAACATAAAAGCAATTTTCAAGCCTGTTCTTGCAGTAAGGAAGCAAAGTCAACGCAGCAGAGACTTTGCAAGGACTATTGATTCAATCACTTCCAGAAATTCTGATCTTCAAGGGAAGATAGTTCGGACTTGGACGAGCTCAGAAGTCCCTCTGCTACCATATGCTCAATGGATTTTTCGTGCGAGGCATATCAGTAAGATGCTCTATTGGCTCCAGCTTCTCTCAGCATCAGCTTGTGTTGCTCTCTCATTAATGAAGCTCATCAAGCGCAACTATGGTGAGATAGAAAAAGGAGACACTGACAAGAGAAATAGGGAGTCTGCTCTGAACATTTTCTATTCATTGGCCTTGGCAGAAGCTCTGTTGTTTCTGATGGAGAAAGCTTATAGTGAGTTTATGATAAGCTATTGTAATCTACTGGATGAGGTAAACAAGGAGTGTGATTTGGGGCCTTCAGGCGTAGTTTCAATTAAAAGGTTCTTCTATGATGCCTATTCAAGATGTGTCAATGGAAGCATTTTTGATGGCTTGAAGATGGATATGGTTACTTTCGCCATGGACTTATTGGCTTCAAATTCCTCAGATGAGCAGCTTATAGGAGCTAAAATTCTTCGCCAATTTGCAATGAATCAGCGGTATTCAGATGATACCTTACAGAAGATTGGTATAAATATATCAGTGATAGAAAGATTGGTTGAGATACTGAATTGGACAGATCAAGAAGAAGAGGAAATCCGACGATCAGCTGCAGAAATATTGTCGAAACTGGCTGGCAAAAAGCAGAACTCCATCCGAATAGCTGGAGTTCCTGGTGCAATGGAATCCATTTCATCTCTGCTCCAAACCTGCAGAAGCTCAAGTGGTGCATCTGATGAAATCAGTGAAAAGAGAATCATTTCTGACCATGCACACTATGGATTCTTGACATTCAATCATTTAGGATTGCTTATTCTGAAGAAACTTGCCCGTGACCACGACAACTGTGGAAAGATTGGAAGCACAAGGGGCCTCCTACCAAAAATCATCGATTTTACACATGCTGAAGAGAGGTTTCTTAAGGAAGAACATGGTACACCAGATGATCAGATAATGACACTGAAACGCTCCCTGCAATTGGTGAAGAGGCTTGCAAGCACAACAGGCAATACAGGAAAGAATCTAAGGAGAAATCTTTCGGAGATAGTTTTCACAATCAGCAATATCAGAGATATTCTGAGATATGGGGAGAAACAGCCAATGCTACAACAATTGGGCATTGAAATCTTAACCTGTCTAGCACTGGAAGAGGATGCAACTGAGAGAGTAGGTGGAACAGGTGGAGTTCTTAAGGAGTTGTTCAACATTTTCCTTAACAAGGGAATGCTAGAGAATGATAAACAAGTAATAACTAAAGCTGGAGAAGCTCTAGCCATGCTGGCATTAGAGAGCAAGAATAACTGTCAGCGTATCTTAAAACTGGGGGTACTGGAAAGCCTTGTCCAAGCTCTAGAGGTTCGATTGGTTCGTGTGAATGCTGCTAGAATCCTAAGGAATTTGTGCACTTACAGTGGCTCAAACTGTTTCCACCAGCTAAAAGGGATAACGAATGCAACGCCTATAGTAAGTGCTTTCTTGCCACAATACCTACCTGCATTTTT